AATCATAATGAAGATATACATAGCATTAAGGTAAAAAATGATATATGCAGTGTTATCTTCATTATGATTTAGCTGCAGCTCTTGTTCAGTCACTAAAAACTGTTATTTTTAATCTTACACTATAAACTAGTAGGACTCCTTTCATATATTTTGAACAGGAGAACAGCTTCCTGCAGAGTCAAAATCAGTGCTAAAGGGCTGCATGCATTAAACAGCAAACCCCATAAGTTCGTCAGCAGTAAAAGCAAATGAATCTACCCACGTATCATTAAATGTTTGGTTTTCTTCAGAAACTTTTCTTTTCTTTGATTTATCCATTGTTGGCCTACTGGGAAGTCGCAAATATAGGTGTGTTTAGTGACTGATTAGCAGATAAACAGTCAAGTGATGTGAATTGTGACAGGTCCCAACTGCAGCTTTTAACATTCAGATGAAGGAGATTACATTTGGACAAAGAGAATCTTTTCAGCAGTGTTTTATGTAACATGAGAGCCTGCAGGAAACTTGTTCCACTCTTTCCCTGCAATGTCGCAATTTACTTGATCTGCTAGTGCAGCGTTCCTGAGTGGATGCCTCATTATCACCTATTGGTATTTTGCAACTTGGAGCCTCGGTCGCAGATCGGTGGCTGTGATGCATATTTTGGGCAATGGCGCCACAGCAGAGGGATTCAAGAGCCACATGCGGCTCCAGAGCCATAGGTTGCCAACCCCTGGTCTAAAGGAAAAAGATGAAAGAAGGGAGTTCAACTACTCAGCATGGATGGAACAATAAGAAATGACAAAGACAGAGGTGCTGCACTCCTACTTTGGCTCAGTGTTCTCCCAAAAGAAAAACTACAATCCTCCTGATGAAGGTGTAGTATAAGCTGAAGGAGCAGGATGGCAGCCCTAGATTGACAGGCAAATGTTCAGGAACTTTTAACTGGGCCAAATGAGTTCAGATCTTGAAGGCCTGATGAACGTCATCCCTGAGTCATAAAAACTAGCAGAAGAACTCTCAGAACCACTATCTATAATCTTTGAGAATTCATGGAAGACAGGAGAAGTGCTGGATGACTGGAGAAGGGCTAATGTTGTCCCTTTCTACAAGAAAGGAAAACAAATATGAATCTGGGAACTATAGACCAGTTAGTCTGACATCAATTCCCAGAAAAAACAGTCTGCAAACACCTTGAAGACAATGCAGTAATTACTAGACGCCGACATGGATTTGTCAAGAACAAATCCTGCCAGATTAATTTAATTACATTCTTTGACTGGCTAACCTCTATAATGGACTGTGGTAAGGCTATGGACATAATCTTGACTTTAGCAAAGCCTTTGACAAAGTGTTCCATGACTTCCTGATTACCAGACTAAGAAAAAAGTGGGCTAGATAGTGCAACCGTTAGTGACAAGTGGGATGCCACAAGATTCTGTCCTGGGCCCAGTACTCTTATTATTTAGATGAGGAAGTACAAGGAAAGATAATAAAATTTTCAGATAGCACAAAGCTGGGTTGGATAACAAATACCCCAGAAGACAGAGATAAGATACAGTGTGATCTTGATAGGTTAGAACACTGGGCAGAGAACAACACAGCCTAATTCAGTAGGGACAATTGTCAAGTCTTCCACTTAGGAACAAGAAACCAAATGTACCACTGCAAAATGGGGGATACTTGGCTCAACAACACTACAAATGAGAAGACTCTTGGGGTTGCTATAGACCACAAGCTGAATGTAAGCCCACAGTGTGATACAGCTGCAAACATGACAAATGCTATACTGGGCATCACTTCTAAAACATGTGAAGTACTAGTTCCAACATACTCAGCACTAGTCAGACTTCACCTGGAGTATAGTGTGCCGTTCTGGGCACCTAAGTTTAAAAACGATGCAGAAGAGCTAGAAAGTGTTTAGAGGAGGGCAGCAAAGATGATTCAGGGACTGGAGGGAAAGATGGAGACAAGTGGGTATGTTCAGCCTCAGGAAGAGAAGATTGATGGGTGATACGATAACACTCTACAAGTACCTGAAAGGCTGTCAAAAAGGAAGGACAAGATCTCTTCTCATTCATTCCACAGGGCAGTTAAAAGAAACCAGATTTAGACTATTTACCAGGAAGACCTTCCTGACTGTCAGAGCAGTACAACAATGCAACCTATTACCTGCAGATGTTCTGAGCCCTCCTTCCCTGGAGACAGTCAAAAACTGTTTGGGCAGTCATCTAAATGGGATGGTGTAACTTAGTGCCCTGCAATAGCAGGGAATTGGACCCAATGGCCTTCTGGCTCCTTCCAACTCTACTATTCTATGCTTCTATAAAAATGTGTAAACTATAGATCCTTATGTAACCAATTCAGTAGCTTTATTTGCTGTAGCAGTGAAAAAAGATTAGAGCAAAGATGCTAACACTGTTGCTGTAAGTTGTGTGCATAATTAAATGGTTTGACTAAACCAAGTCGATCTTTTTTTCAGTTATCATTCCCAATAAAATTATAGCAGTAATGCAATAAAATTAACTGACTGGTTTATCTACATAGCCACATTTCATTGCACTGCTTATTACATTAATTTAATTTTATATAATTTTTATAATACATTTTACTGTTTTAATATGTAGGTTTTCACAATTTGATCCTTATAACTTTGATAAACCTTCAAAATTATTTTACTTCTGGTATAGTTCTCGCTCTTGGATTCTTTTCCTTCATAACTAAATTATTAACAGATCTCAGCTGTCACCTTGTTTTTACTGGTTGCTTTCAGGTTGGCTTAACTATTTTAAGTGTTTAAATTGTGAGCCATACTAAGCAGAAATACTGAAGGGCAGAATGCATATTTATTAATTGAACCTGAATTATAAAAGGCAAGAGGTAGCTTTCCATTTAACTTGCCTTGCCGGTACACAGATGCTCAGCTACTCCACTGCTGCCTTGTACATTATGGACTGACTGAACGCATGGCCCTGCCAAGAGCTTTTTTGGGGGGTGTAGGGGGCTGCAGGGGGAAGATTACTCACTCCTCCACATTCTATTAAATGCATGCCTTCAATCAGCAGACAGACACCAACTGCATACTATTCATATTTTTTCCTTCTAAATAAACATTGCTGCCCCATGTGCTCCAGCATTGTTGTCAGAAATAAATTCAACATACTGAAAAGAATATGCTTAATTCAAGAATAAAAACTTAGAGTTGTAATATCCAGCCAGCTGCAAAGATAGCAGGTGAACAGAGTAAAACAACAACAGTACAACACATTTCATTAGAATTTCAGATCCATCTTTGACAAGCAGCTTATTCTATACATTAGGAATTTCTCTATGCAGAAGCAAAGTCAGATGTAGAAAGACCACAAAATACTTACCTCACCATTGTCTACCACAGCTATGGAAGAGGTCTGACCACATGCAATGCTGATTACCACCTTTGTCTGTAAACAGTTAGAAACTTTGCGAGGAGTTGGCTGATTTGCTGTTGATCCTGACCCAACTTGACCACAGTTGTTGTAGCCCCAGGCATATACCTTTCCACAAGAAAAATGGAAACACACAGCAGGAATACACTACAAACTTGCAGAAGGAGAATAAAATTTGTCTCACAGCATATTTGCTTTGATAGGAGATAACTACTTCTTTACAAAAGGGTGCAACAGACTTGCAATTCTTCTCAAAATCCCACTGAATGAAGGGCTACTGATGACAGAATGGGCAAGTATCCATTTATGATATTAGATATTAAAACAGCCTTAAGGTGGAGGATATTTAACTACAAGTAGTCAAAAAAGGCCATATTCCCACATGCTTGGGTGACTGCATATTGTGTGGAATAAAAGCTAGATGTACAGGAAATGCTGATCGTGTTTAAATTGATCACCTAGATATGCTTTCCAGGTTACATCTGCCACCTGTTTGTACTCATGGGATTAAAAAAAATAAAGTTGCCTATTTGTAGGTGCAAAACCAAACACTGGGAAGACATGAGGTGTTGCTTGGGCAGTTTGAAAGGGCAGGTTGTGGCCCTCCAAAGCTGTCAAACTAGCTTTTCCAATCCTCCCCACTGTTCCCCTCCCCAGAAAAGGTTTAAAAGGAGTGAGCTGAAAACAGCCTGTCGTCATGGCAGGAAGGGAGAGTGAACTTATTGCTGTTGCTGTGTCTCTTGTGATACCCTTTAGGAGAGATAGAAGGAGAGGGAGGGATGGGCAAAGTACCTACAGTTGTTTGGAGATACATATGTACTTCACAGAATAACCAACCCACCATTATAAATCCCAACAATGGGTTTCTGTGGCATGCAAACCTGCCCATTATCACTGCAAGAGCTTTTCTTGAAGTTTGGAAATAAACCAAGCAGCTCACCTAATCATTTATCTACCCTTGAATTCTTCCTATTTAACTTCCACAGCTGTGCATGTACAACATGCTAAAGGTACTCAAGCAGACTCTACCATGTACATAATGGTAGCCCATTCCTTCCATAAACACATTACCTATACATAATAAATCTGTTATGTATTAAGATAAAGCTTCACTCTGAAATGCTTCACCAAGAAAACACAATCCAGTGATTAATGGCAGCCCCATAAATCACCCCTCAAGAATGGTGTCTAATGTTTATAGAATAAAAGTAGTTACTCAGCAACAAAGGTTCTAGAAATGAGTAAAAAAGAAAAGACTTACATCTCCATCGGATGATAATGCTATAGAATGATGGGAGCCACAAGCTACTTCAGTTACTTTCTTAATTAGCAAATTGGTACAGACTTGAATAGGTGTAACACCTTGGTTTGTAGTCCCATTCCCAAGTTGACTGTATCCATTGTGTCCCCAAGCATAAACTTCACCATCTGTACAGGACACAAAAGCACAGTTTACCCAGTACTTAAATTTATTCAATATTAGATTATGATTTTCAGTTCCAAATGGCAACAAAATCAGCTTTAAAAAAGAATACATACAAGCATCCCAAATACATTCTTTCACTTACAACCACTATCACCATATGATACAGATTTTATTAGATACTGGAAGGTATCAGAGAGACTCTCTGAACTGGTACACACATTTACCATGCTTCCATGTGACAACTAATCACCATGGCTTTATTAACCCTTGAGTCTGCTACAGTATGGGGCAGCCACCATTTTGAATACACAGGCATCAGCTGGCAGTTGTCATGGCCTGTCATGTCATGCAAACCTGGGCAGTGAGGACTGTTCACAGGTTAACCAACCTATGGCCTCTCTTAAGGTCATGCAAAGATTGTATCACCTCTACACTGCCCTAATCACCTCAGGATTGCACAAGACACCACAGAATCCAACAGCCAAGCCTTACTTATCAAAATGCTTGCCAGCACTCAGTACAGCAACTGGCCGGTTAATTCATCAATTATTGCTTGTTGTGACACGCACAATGGCCCTGCAACTGGAAAAGCCAAACTATTAACTAACTGCTCCACTCACAATCTTTCCTTCAAGCCTGAATGACATAACTATATAGCACTTAAAACCTGAATTTACCTTAAATATACACTCCTAGCTTATTCACTATACAGTGGTACCTCGGTTCACGAATGTTTCAGTTCACGACCAAATCAGTTCACGAACAAAAATTTCAGAAAAAATTTGCCTCAGGTCGCAAACTCTGCATTGGGTGACGACTACATTCACACTCATCTTCCCCACATGAGCACTATCATGATTGCAGCCATCTCCGCCCCCACCCCCTGCACGATTGCTATCTCATGATTATCATTTGGACTCTCCCTCCAAACAACAACCTCCTCCGCACCTGAGTTAGTGTTCTCTACTGTACAGTACTTTGCTACTTTGTTGTTCTTTGCTACTTTGTTTCAAATTTTTGTGATTAACAAAAAATATTTACAGAACAAATTAACCTTATTACGTTGAACCTTATGGGGAAATTTTACTTGGCTCATGACCAAAATCGGCTCATGACCACGTCCGTAGGGGTCAGAATGGATTAACCTTATTTACATTGAACCTTACGGGGAAATGTGACTTGGTTCGCAACCAATTTGGGTCGTGACCAGAGTTGTGGAATGAATGAAGTTCATGAACCAAGGTACCACTGTATATATATTAGCTTATTCACTATATATATATATTTAAAACAATGTTTACACCCCACAACATAGCAACATAGTCCCTGCTTTGTCCTTGTCAGCTGTAGTGGCAAATAACTATCTCCACACTTTCACCCATTCACCAAACCATAAGTTCCAAAATCATCTTTACTTAGTTGGAACAGAAGACAACTTTTCTTTGATATGCAATTCATGTCAATGGGAACATCATATCAGTAAATGAGTGCATGCACACACAGAAGGTTTAGGAAAAGAAACTACAGATCCTGATACTGGAGAAAACTTTTTTTCAAACATTGATTTGCATCAAGCGGGAAATCAGATGAAAATATCCATCACAAAAATTAAAGTAGTGATGGCATGATCTATAACTTCAATTTCCAAGCAAGAAGCAAACCTCTAGCAATTCCCCATTTTAATAGGTTGCAGAAGTTTAGAAAGTACATGACTAGTATTGCTCAATTAAGAACAAAAAATGTCTACCTTCTGTACTAAGAATTACATGTGGCCCACTTCCATAACTGAGACTGTGAATCCTCTTTCCGCATAAAGATTCAAGTTTCTTTGGTACAATAGTACTCTGGTTATCTCCAGTTCCCAAACAATTACTACAGTTTAGTCCAAATACGAAAACCTAAAAAGAGAAACCAATCAACCTATGTTTGAATGTATTAATTTATGAGAACAGTTTAAGAGAAATGTCAATCAAGGTGGAATAGAATGCAAGTTAATTTAAAAGAATATAGTAGAATTTTTACATTCCAGTTATGGTATTTTATTTTGAAGGTAGTTCCTAGCTTACAGATGAGTTCTGTTGCTGAGAATGTCCTGAAGTCAAATTTGTATTAAGTCAGATCAAATGAGTAAGCCAAATGTTTGTCGTGTTATATGTATCTATTTTACCTTTGTATGCATATAAAATATTTAAGCTTCCATATTCACTAAAACATCTTAAACAGAATACAGCATTGTAGTAATGATACTAATACAGATACTGGAGAGAGAGAGAATCTGTATGTATGTGTGTAAGTATACTGTACTGAAAAAAAAATGTTGTAGCTTGCCTCTTATGTTTGACTTAGTGAATGTTTGAACTTCATTGTATGCCCATCTTTATTTTCTATTAGGCTTACATTAAAATTAATTTGGATCTTTAAAAGTGACTTACCAGTCCCTCATTACCTTCCAAAGTTCTCTGATATTGGACTGCTATGGCAATATAGCCTAGTACTTGCTTCCTGCATTAAAAAACATTCTAATCCATGGTGAATTAGTCTCATGACACAATTATGTGAGGGGGATTAAACAAGCCTTGCATAACCTTAGAAAAGACCACCAGCCACACATCATCGTTTCATCATTGCCTCACCTAGTTTACATAACATGACAATCCCTGAACTAGATCGCATATTCAAAACAGCTGTGCCAGATGCTCTGCAGCCTAACCTTATGCCCCACTGAAGCTATAAACAAATTCAAACAAGTTGGGGCAGTGATCTGGTTGGAGGGCAGCACTTGTGAAAGGGATCTCGGGGTGCTGGTTGACTGCAGGCTGAACATGAGTCAGCAGTGGGATGCAGTGGTCAAGAGGGCGAACGCCACCCTTGGTTGCATAGCCAGAAGTATGGCTTCTAGATCGAGAGAGGTATTACTACCACTCTATACGACTCTGGTGTGCCCGCAACTGGAGTATTGTGCTCAGTTTTGGGCCCCTCATTACAGGAAGGATATAGCCAGGTTAGAGTCAGTGCAGCGTAGGGCCACAAGGTTGGTGGTCGGTTTGCAGGGGATGCCATATGAGGCGAGACTGAGGGAACTGGGTCTCTTCAGCCTGGAGAAGAGGAGACTCAGAGGGGATCTGTTGGCGACATACAGGTATGTGAGGGGGTGTCACACGGAGGTGGGTAGAGACCTGTTCTCCCCTGCAGAGGAGGGCAGGACGCACTCCAATGGAGCAAAGCTCAGGGAACCAAGGTTCAATTTAGATGCCAGGAAGCACTTCCTGACAGCCAGGACCCCGAGGGTGTGGAATGGGCTTCCGTGGGAGGTGGCTGAGGCCCCATCAGTGAGGGTGTTCAAAGATAGGCTGGACATGCACATGGTGGGCATGTCATGAGACGAGTTGGCTGGAGCCAGGGGTCAGGCTAGATGGCCCGGGAGGCCCCTTCTGACTCGCTCTGTTTCTATGTTTCTATGTAAACACTTCAGAGTAAGATTATCTACTTACACCCGATACAAGTCTCTCTGGGTTTTATGATCAGCATATGAGCTTTGGTCTATTAGTGAGAGCTGTGAGACTGGTAAGCACCAGGACAGGGGCTTTTTTGTTATGACTCAACTTCTTTGGAATATCCTTTGCTGAGAATTACATCTCTCCTCTGTCTTTTGCTCATGTTAAGGAAGATTTTAAAGAATAATTTCTTTTGGTCATTTTAGTGTAAAACATACACTATAGGTTGCTTCTTTCTGCAGCTGTTATAATTTCTTATTTTAATTTATGTACTGAATATTCTTCATTCTTTGATGGCTCAGCTAGTATTTATGTTTATAGTTTGTGAGGGTTTCAAGCCAAAAACATGGGCAATTAGATTAAATACCTTGACTGTAAACTGTCATGATACAGGTGATAGAAGATGACCCGCTGCTCCAATCCATGCTCCTCACATACAGTTCTCATTTTAAATATTTATGTCTCTAAAAGTTTCTTGTTTTATTTAAAGTTCTCATGGAGAAACACCATTCTCTCCTATAATAACCATACCTCCCAGGAAACTTCTAGGTACTACCTACTAAATGCTATAGCTGTTTACAAGAAGTCTCACTGAATGCAATTGAAGCTGAGCTTATGTCAACATAGGATTGCAGCTTTCTGGCATATCTTATACAGGTTTACTCAGAAGTAAACGTTTTCAGAGAATCTTGCTCTGCTCACAGTAAACGGGCATAAAATTACAGCCTCAGTCTGATATTTGAACAAAGAACAAGGTAAAAACCAATTCACTTCACAATTGCTGTTGATACCTCACCTTTAAAGAGATACAAATTTTCTAGTGTAAAACAAATGTAAACTATATGACCCCAGGTAATCTAGAAGCAATCTAAAAGCATTTAGTTAGAAATCCAATCTTTAACTTAATATTGTCTTACAAACTAGCAGTATACAAAACCATGCCACAAACAAACCAGGCATTCTTCCCCACACCAAATACTTATTCTAAAGGCTTCAAGGGATGAATGGAACCACATTTTTTCATTGTACAAACCTTAGAATACATGTATTGTTTTATTTGTAAGTGATCAAAATAGGGCTCTTCCTCTAAAAATCTAAAAGCTATATATTATTCTAAGAAACAAGAGTCCAATCTTTTGAAAATATCTGATTTATTCAAATAGTTCAGCTCTTTTGTAGCTCATGAAAAGGAACAGATAAAAGAGCTGCTTTCTTGTGTTTTATTATTACCAAAATTATTTGAGAAATTGCTCTTTAAAAAATTAATCAAATGCATTTTAATTACGCGCAAAAAATACGTCAACACAGAAAACAAAATAATGGCCCACAGACTGAAAACATTTGAGATATATATATATATATTCCAATTCCCAAAATATATTTTGGATAATATAAACACCAAGAAAGGAGATGCAAAAAGGGCAGCAACCGTAAGACCATTACACTAATCTCCCACATAAGCAACGTGATGCCCAAAGTGCTGCAACAAAGAATGCTACCCTATATGGAACGAGAAATGCCAGGTATCCAAGCAGGATTCCAAAAATGAAGAGGCACTGGAGATCATGCTTTATAAAATCTGTGCTTTATAAATTACAGGAAAGCCTTTAACTGTGCAAAGGCTATGGACAGTCCTGAAAGAAATGGGCATGCCTGAGCACTTGTCCTGATGTGCAACCTGTATCACGGACAAGAAGTTACAGTTAGGGCAGAATATAGAGAAACAGAATGGTTTGCCATAGGCAAAGGTGTCAGACAAGGATGTCTTTTTAGTCTGTACACAGAACATATAAAGAAAGCTGGATTAGAATGAGGGGAAGGAGTGAAAATTGGTGAAAGAAATATCACTAATTTAAGATAGTAGGTGATACATACTACTGGCAGAAAGCAGCAATGGCTTGAAGCAACTGCTGATAAAGGGAAAGAAAGCACAAAAGCAGAACTGCAGCTGAATATTAAGAAAACAAAATCATGTCCACAAAAGAATTGTTGACATGCACATGGCAGGCATGTCAAGAGTGGAGCCAGGGAGTCAGACTAGATGGCCCAGGAGACCCCTTCTGACTCACTCTGTTTCTATGTTTCTAAGAATTACAGAACTTTACTGTTAATAACGAAGAAATGAAAAGTGTGAAAGATTTCACATGCCTTGGCTCAAGCATCAATTGAAAGGGAGACTGCAGTCAAGAATTTCAAAGATGACAAGGACTTGGCAGGACAGCAATGGAGGAACTAGGCAAGAAAATCAAGCATAAGGATGTTTTACTGGAGACCAAGACCTAGACCATCCAAACTATCATATTCCCAATCACAATTTGTGGGTATGAAAGCTGGACAGTGAAGAAAACTGAAAAGGAAGAAAATTGATGGTGTTTCAGACACAGTTCTAGAGGAGAGCTTTGCAAATACCTTAGATTAAAAGAAAATCAAGTGAGTCCTTGATCAAATCAAGCCAGAGCTTTCCACAGAAATAAAAATGACAAAACAAATGCTATCACGTCATGAGAAAGGTTCACTGAAGAACACAATAAAATCACTTTTGAGTTTTTGGTCCCTGACAAAAACCCCTCTCTTTCAACATATCTATGGCACTATACAAACCATTTATCAATAGCATTGGTTTTAACTTTAATTTTATTAATTTAAATCTTGTGTGTACATATTGTGTCCAATTGTATTTAGAACATTAACTATATTTTTACTCTAATGGTTTCTATTGTAATAGCCACCCAGAGAGCATGATGCTAATGGGGCAGGTTTTATACAAATTTAACAAATAAATAAATAAAACCAGGTAACTTAGCTGCATCCATGCAATTATCTTACCTCATCATTGTGTGTTATGTATATAGCCTCATTAGCAGATGTTCCAAACACACATGCTTTCCGGATAGTTGCTATTTCTTGAGGTGAAAGCAATGTAAATATTGGCCATTTACCTACATCCATCATGACACTGTTATACTTTGGACCAGACTTATGAATATTGTGGCATTTTATCTGCCATGTAAAATCAATTCACAGAATCATCTGTAAAAAAAGAAAGGATGTTTAGTGCTAGATTTTCAGTTGTAAATAATTTCAACATCCACAGAGGTGTGATTTTATCTGGGGAAATCTGGACTTCCTTGCCATGACAGCACCTGTGAAGCTTTTGAAAAATATCATCCTGCACTTATGAAGGCCCAAGAAACATAAAAACATTTGGTCTAGTCTCTCTTTTGAAAGGAATTTTCCAGAGTAAATATGGTAACTATTTGAGAAAACACTGCAAAACCTCTGTAAAATATTCTTTCATTTGAGATGAGTAAAATGCAACTACTAATTCAAAGAGTGTAAATTTTTAATGTAGCTCTACAGCATGGACACATACACATGTTGTAGAGAAATATACATCTCGTAAGATGCACTTCTACAACTAGAGACTGCTGACAGTTTCATAAGGGAAACAAACAAGGCCTTTGCTACATGTCATTCTCGTAAATTTTGATCATAGACTATAAGCCTTTTACAGGAAAGGCTTACTAAGATATGTGAACCCTCCATACAAGTGTTGGGTTTTGTTTTAAGGAGCATTTCATCACTTGGTTCCTCATCTATTGTCTGAAATAGTATAGCCAAGATGCAAGTTTAATAGCTCAGTGCAGAATAAGCTGAGGAAAAGAGAAGTGAATTTTAAGTCCAGTTGAAAGGACTGAGAGGGACACTAGGTTGAAAACATTCAGACTGAGACTTTTGGTAAATGTAAGAAAACAAGGAGTAAATATGTGGGGAAAGGCAAGTGAGAACAAGCAGACTGGAGTGCAGACAACTAGTGCAAATAAAGTTGGAAGAGAACAGGAAAGAATGAAAAGTCCTCAGTGCATTGTCACTGGGTCAAAATGATTCTCTTGATTTATTTGAAAGCTTCCAAAATCATCTTCCCAAGACCCTATTTTTTATACGCCATATGTACACTGACACATGAAGCAGCCTATATATTTCCAGAAAACTTAACTATATGTTTTCACAAAACTGAACTACTAAATTTTAGTTCAAATGCACAATTTATTTTATTAAGTAATTTGGACCATGAAGGCCAATCCTATGCACATTTGACAGGAACAACTTGCAGAATTCTCAAGCCAGCAAGGCTAGATAAGGAATGCTGTATGGTTTTTTCTGTCTAAACATGCATGAGATTGCACCCTTAAGGAAAGTATAAAGAGCTTATTAAGGCATTTTTACCCTGTCCTATACAAAAGTTATCACCTTGTCCCCAGAGAGGTCTGCCTGGCACCGTCATTATTTGTTTTTCGGCGCCAGGCTAAGACCTTTTTATTTAAAACTTATTTTAATTGCTAAATTATTGAATTATTAGGATTTTAAAATTAGCCGAGAATGCACCGGGGTTTTTAAAATGTTTTTAAATGTTTTTTTTCTTTTAAATTGTTATATTACTATTATTTATGTATATTTTTATGTATTCTTTGTGAGCTGCCCCAAGGCTTTGTTGCGATGGGGGCGACATAGAAATGTTTTAAATAAATAAATGTTTCAGGACAGCAACACAACTTAAAGAGCAGAATACACATAATGAAACAAGTATATTTCCTTCACTACCCACTTTCAAACCTATTTTGAGACCCAATTGTGCTCAATACTTTTATTCTTTGTACTTAAGAATTTATTAAGAGGATTATTTAAAGAGAGAAAAGGGTTACATAAAGGCCTTGCAAGCAAGCAAAATATTAGCATCCATACACATATGTACATACATTTATGAGTACCTGAGCAGGGGATATTTTTTTTAAAAAACTTACCTAAGAAGTATCATTTGTTTCCCTAGCAGAAAGCCCAGTTTCTCAGTGCCTTCACATTTCAGCAGTACTGAATGCAGACAAGTACCAAGCTTATCATATTAACTGTTAAGCTCCTTTGATCTCTTCTTTGCTACTGTAATGCCTAGATTTTAAATTTCATAGGGTAACTTATATGAAACTAAAAAAACACCCAGGACACAAGTGCCAGTTCCTTCCAAATTGCACCTCAGGAGCTAAGTTCACATGTGTTTTCTTACAAACACTTGTAAAAAAAAACTCAGCACATTCTGTTTTAAAGAAAAGCAGCTTCAGAGAAGATCAGATGTATAATACTTCCTGCCCACTATTTCTCTGTTCCAATGAGTGCCCTATAAGAAAAGTGAATATGCTTGAGTATGCCTTGCCCAGAGCTAACAAAAACCACACCTGTCTTCTTTGGGTTGACTTAGGCATGGACTTTGACACTAGACAAAAAGTTGAGAGAGCAATAGAATAATGCAATGAAACTTAAGGTTCCACATGCCAGCAACGTTTGTGCGGACTCCCCCTGTGAACACCCAGAATTTGCAGGAAAGAGCACAAGTACAATACACATACAAACGATGGTTCTCATGTTTACTCATTCTTCATGACTTCACACAAAATCACCCTCCCCTGATAAATATAGTTGCCAAAACACACAGCTCACACGCATTATTTCACAAACCACAACAGCTACTCATACCGCATAAGATATGCATGCCTGACTAGAAGGGAACCTAACGTACAAAACGCCCCAGATGGCCGCTCACTTTCCAAACCTCGTTTTCAGGATGGGGGTCTCGAGGGGAAACAACCCCCTTGAGGGACTGCCTAGCACGCAAGCCCGGACGCCGACATTCTGCAAAAGGCCGGAGGAACGCCACTTCCGCTCTTTCTGCTAGAAAGCGGAGCGCCGCGACGGCTGGGCCGTCCTCTCGCAGAGGCAGCAAATACTTGCCCGGCGGCGACGCAGCTGTACCGAAACCAACAACCAGCTGGGACAAGAGACTCTGGTACTAAACGAGCATGCGCGGAGGCGCGGATCGCGGCCTACGACTCTCCCCACGTCGAGCCACACCCCGTTCTCTGATTGGCTCCTTTGCAGCCTACAGAGAAAATGTAGAATGGCCCACCGGTTATCAAAGATGAAACGTTCGTATTCCTGTAAGGGTGTCATCCTTTCTCAGCCAGGGTTCGCGAAAGATTGTAAAAATATACGTCGTGTTATATAAAATCACACACCAAGTGACTTGATCCTTTCAATACTTTTAATACCATGATAATGTATAAATTATTTGGAAATAAGCGTGCCAAAATTGAAATAAATAGTGCAATGTTACTATTTTAACGCAGGGGTTCCTTGAGACATCTTTTATGCGCGGGTCCCTGAGGCGCTAAAATTATTTCAAGTGCTCTTTCAAGATAAAGTTGACAAAGCCTGTTGTACAGAGTTACCTGACTGGGAATAAGATTTATTTGCTTCTTAATAGACCGATACAGCATTGCAGACCTTAGTTCAAAGACGCCCGCTGCCTTCTGGAGAGATGAGGACACTAAACCTAGTTTCTCCGTCATTTCCTCCGCGCAGAAGGAACAAGACAATTAAAGCGCGAAATGGAGGGCTGCACCTCTGTTCACTAGGGGGCTGAACTGTAAGAAGCGGTTCAAAACCAGTTTCGAGACTTCTTTCTTCCGCTGCCTTCTTCAGCCCGCCCCCTTCCTTTGCTGCGCTGGCGGGAACAGGGCGGCGTAGCTGCGCAAAGAGTCTGCGCCGCGACTGCGGGAGGGAAGCGCCGCGTTGCGGGGAGTCTTCGTGTGCGCGAGGCTGATACATTATTCAGCGCTGGCGTGTGAGGGTAGTTCCGCCCACGCTACGCTGCGACCCTCCCACGCGCAGCCGAAAGGAACGTGGCCGTTTTCGTGGCCGGATGAATACTAACTACGGGAAGATAAATGGCCTTATTTTCAGTCCTTTAGCATTGTGTGTCTTTCCATTTCCAATCTTTTTCCCCTCATTTCTGGCACTCAGGACATTGGGGTGAGGCCACTTGTTATCCTACTTGTTAGGATAAAAAGAGGGAGGGCTGCCTGCTATTAATGGAAAGAGTCCCATTTTTTCTGTGCTGATAAATCCATGCTTTTCTACAGGAGACATTACGTACTTGCGATTCCTCGCTCAACCTTGTTGCGGTTGCTTTACACGATGTTGCCAGAGCAACAACACAGAGCTTCTCCTGTGCTTTGCAAGCATTATCGCGACGTTTTTGTTTTTTTCTTCTTTTTTTGAGAAAGGAAAGTAAGAGATTGCCTGGAAAGCACATGATGAGAAGAACATGTATTTTCGCAATTCCACCGTACCGCAGCGCCACCTTGTGCTTTACTGGAAACCAGGGACTGGTGCGCCTAAATTAATCCATTGTTTTGTCCACCTGCTCTAAAGCTGTTTACCTGAGACTATGTTGCATTGAATTCAGTGGCCTTTTTTTTTTGATAGTACATCTATCATCTCTGGTTGATTTACAAGTCTCTTTCAAGATCATCAAAGTGGAGAGAATGCCAATGATGCTAGGTGGCTATGAAAAGTGAGTTAGGGCAGGGCCAGGTAAGCAGATAGCTAATGGAAGAACCCACCTTAGAAATTTTTTTATGAAATTTTTGTTTGCGACCAGATTTGGTTGTGAACTGAGGTGTTCGTGAGCCAACTTACCACTGTAACAGACCCTAGCTGCCTCTTCTGAATGCACATTGCTGTTTTTATACACACACTTGCCCTTATTCCATGGGCTTCCACAGGTGACTGAAGCCCCATCGGTGAGGGTGTTCAAGAATAGGCTAGACATGCACTTGGGAGGCATGTCGTGAGTGGAGCTGGCTGGAGCCTAGATGGCCTGGGAGGCCCCTTCTGACTTGCTCTGTTTCTATGTTATTAGCTTTCAGGTAGGAGGAAAGTTCTGAAGTCTTCTTCAAGCAGTAAGAGATTGCCAGCTAACCATTAGATCCCATTACCAAAGTATTACATAACCATACTATGTTAAGCTATTGTGGAATTCTATGACAAGGTTCCGAGGTGCCTAGATGGAGGGATTTACCTGAATTTCAGCAATGGCTTTGCCAAAGTGCCACATGATATCATGGTTGAGAAATTGAGGAATTTTTGGATAGACCAATGCACTGTCCAGTGGATTAGGCCTTGGTTGACAGACTGAAAGCAGAGGGTAACTTTTAGAGGGGAATAATTGGATTGGCAGCCAGTGATGAGCAGGGTCCCCCAGGGCTCTGTCCTGGGACCAATCCTGTTCAGTCTTTTCATCAGTGACCTGGAAGAGGGGGTAACCAGTCTGCTGATCAAATTCACAGACAATATTAAAATAGGGCATTGGCCACAACTGAGGAGCAGGTACTGTGGATCCAGAAGGATCTGGGCAGACTATGTAAGTGGGTGGGGGACAACAGGATGGCATTCAATGCGGTCTTGCACTTGGGGCATAGGAATGGGTGTCATAAGTACAAGATAGATGGCAAGTGGATGGCAAGCAGCACTTACGAAAAGGATTTTAGTGTGCTGGTCGACTGCAGGCTAAGCACGAGTCAGCAGTGGGATGCAGTTGTCAAGAGACTGAACGCCACCCTTGGATGCATAGCCAGAAGTGTGGCTTCTAGATCAAGAGAGGTATTACTCCCACTCTATATTACTCTGGTGTGCCTGCAACTGGAGTACTGTGTTCAGTTCTGGGTCCCACATTACAAGAGAGATTTAGCCAGGTTGGAATCAGTGCAGTGTAGGGCCACAAGGATGGTGGCTGGTTTGCAGAGGAAGCTGTGAGGCAAAACTGAGGGAGCTGGGTCTTTTCAGCCTGGAGAATAGGAGACTGCAAGGGGATCTGTTGGCAACATATAGGTACATGAGGGGGTGTCACGCAGAGGTGGGTCAAGTCTCCTTGACTGTTGGGGACAGGTGGGAGTGTGGCAGAGGGCAGGATGCAAAGCAAGAGAGGCATGCTACCTGGGACACTCACCTTGGTGATTATGCTGAATGCACAGCCTACAAGCAGGGCAGCATCCTGGGAAGGAAACCGGAGCTTCCCTGTGTGGCATGAGGGCAACACAGGACAACAACTACGTAGATGGGCCACACATGGCTGCCTCCATGGTCACTGTGCTAGAGGTGCTCCCTGTCTTTCCTACCGTGCTCCCTTACACCCCTTCCCATCATGGCAGTGGGGTGGCTAGACATTAAAGTGTCCACACTGGCAGCAAAGCATGGAGATAGCAGTTGCTAGGCAGAAGAGGCCAGCAGAAAATGGGGGCTGCAGCTGCAACCTCACTGGCAGAAACAGGGAAATCATGGAAAAAAACATGGCTACTGAAGTCACACATAATGACAAGCAATGGCAAAACATTGAGTCTCCATGGGCATTTATGTTTTTAATGTTTCCTTTATTGAAAGTTAAAGAAACACACGAACATTTACATACATTGAACATTATCTGTATTCCTTTCCCCTCCCACTCGTAGTACAAGTTAAATAAACTAAAGTCTACAGTTTTTCAGGATGCATGTTGGTTATATAGAAACTGTTACAACAACCATAATGACTTATAACTTGCTGGTACCATCCTCCCATATTCAGTTATGTTGTTTTATTCAATAAATGGTAACCAAACAGCTTCATAAGAATCAAAAATTTGTTGGCCTCTCATGATCTATAGTCTGAATGATAATTTTTCCATTATTGTGGTCTTCCATGCCAAATTATACCATTCATTCAAAACTCTAAAGTTTATGTTTGGTATTTATATCTTTTCAACAAATACATTCAACAGGGGCAATTCAGAATCAATTGTTACTTCTAATTTTAAATCTGAGTAATCTTAGTGAAAAGCTGCTGTCCAGAATTTATTAATCTCACCACATTCCCACAACATGTGCTGCTAGGTCAGGGGTCGGCAACCCGCGGCTCCAGAGCCACACATGGCTCTTGAATCCCTCTGCTGCGGCTCCGTTGCTCAAAATATGCGTCACAGCCACCGATCTGCAACCCATGCTGATTTACTGAGCTTTTTCACCTGGCAGGCCAAGCATGGATAAATCGAAGAAAAGTTTATGAAGAAAACCGAACGTTTAATGGTACGTGGGTAGATTCGTTTGCTTTTACTGCTGACGAACTTATGGGGTTTGCTGTTTAATGCATGCAGCCCTTTAGCACTGACTTTGACTCTGCAGGAAGCTGTTCTCCTATTCAAAATATATGAAAGGAGTCCTACTAGTTTATAATGTAAGATTAAAACCAACAGTTTTTATTGACTGAATAAGAGCTGCAGCTAAATCATAATGAAGATATAGATCTACTTCCTTGTATTAAGAAGATTCTTATAAAAATTCCAGCAACGTTATTACACTGGGAGAGGGATGTTTGTTCAATATTTCACCAGACTATTATTTATATTTGTTGTGTTGTAGAAATTCTACTTACTGTATGAAAGTGTAAGTTAGTCCTTTTTTTATTAAGGTTGACAGCTGACTGCACCCTCCAGTACATGTGATAAAAGGATGAGGGCACACAGAAGCAGACGGCATTTTTGGTTTGCTGCAGGTGGATAATTTAAGTTCTGCTTTTTATTTCATAAATACGAGGAGGACTCAAATAGACATTGAGTATTTTATTTGAAAGTAACCTTCAACCCAGCATCTTTTTTTTGGAGTTCAAAATGTTTTTGTTGCATGCAGAAATAAAAATTTGTTTTCTCTGTAGTAGTTCATTGATTTCATAAATGCAAGATACTATACTTTTTTTATACATAGCATAAAGGTAAAAAATGATATATGCAGTGTTATCTTCATTTTAGATGTCAAAGGGTTTTGCGGTTTTCTTTTCTGTGGGAAACGGGTCCAAATGGCTCTTTGAGTGTTAAAGGTTGCCGACCCCTGTGCTAGAAGCCAACCACTTAATAAATACCAATTTTCCAGACTTAATAAATACCAATTTTCTAGGAGTCAGATACC